GTGAGTTAATGGGAGAGGCATTGACCGTTTTGAAACGAACGCTTATTTGCGCTTCTAGTTGCTGTAAGTTGTAAATCTATACCATTTTTTAAACTTTTATTATTTCTAGACTCTGAGGAGCGGCGATTCATTTAATCTGGAATGTAACGCTCGAGGGCTCTGGCCAGTTATTCAGCAAACCAGAGAAGATGATTGGACAGTATACTGGTCCTATGAACCAGATGTTAGTGCTCGGGCTTTGGGTGCTAAACCCCTAGAAAAGATGTGGGAGTCTCAAATTTTTGTGCCATTCATCGAAGGAGATAAAATGTTCCAAGCGCACAAGAAATCGGACTCATCCGAAGAAAAGAACGCGGTACCGTTGACCCTGTTTGACACTGAACAGCGAAGAATAGACAATGTTGAATATAATATGAGCGGCCAGTTTGTATGCACCGTAGTCAGCAAAGCAGAAGGTATGAGCGAACGACGTTTCATCACAAATTCCATACACCTCACGGTCATTCCGCCACTGACGTTGAAAGAATCGGTGGGTATTTCTAACATAACTACCTACTGTTTAATATTTAGTAGTTGAATTATACACTTATATTGCGCACTTCTCATTCTCCTCGTCTGCCAAATTTTATTTTCATTATCTTCATCAGATTATAGAATGGCTGAAAGATAACCAGCACAGTGTCACGGCACTGTTTCTAACGCTGATTCTCGTAATCATCGCCTATGTGCTATTAATCAAGAGGCGAGCAAAGAGAATCGCGAGCACGAAGAATATGGATGAGGCGGATGAATTTCAGGCAAATTTGGCTGTTGTTGACGCAAAACATGGATGATCTTTTGTTCAGTTTTCTTTATTGTAAAGAACCTTTTTAATCCACGGGCCGTCAGCCTTTTTTTTCTTTCAATGACTCCTGGGTATTCATTAAGGAATTATAAATCAACGATCGATACCATACCGCAGTGATAAAGCAGCAAGCATGAACAATTATTGGTAAGGATCTATAGTGGGGTCCCCACAGTGCTGGCGAAGCACGTTCCACTCCACAACGGGCACCTGGATTTTGGGGGGGGACAGAATGGGTGGGGCATATCGGGGAACAATTCAGTGCGCAATAATTATGTAAAGTAAAAAAGTTACGTGGAGTAAGTTGGGGGATGTGCGCTGACCTCGGGCGAAGCGTGTGTATGTCCGGGGTGTTCGCTGACCTTGGGC